AGGAGTATATTGGTCAACGATTTCATCTTTTCCATTGAAAAGGGCAAATAATAAATGATGTGATTAGGGAGTTTCATACGAAAGTTGTAATTCATGTCATTTTCATTGGCAGAGATTTTACATTATTGCTTTAAGGGTTTTTGCATTTTTGGGGTGACGTAATGTAATCATGGAAAATACTATGTTTTTACATTACTGTATCACCATATAAATCCATACCCTTATTTAATGGGCCCTCCCTCAAAAGTCTGGTTCTCTCCCTAGACAGCTACATAGCCTGTGTTTGATCATTCATTTTCACTGCCTAAGTATATTATTTTGCATGGATTTCAATTGCATTTTGAATCATGAAAAGAGCTGCCATCATTATTTTGGTTGGTTTTTGTCAAATAGGGCATGCTAATTACTTTTTTGCTGTGACACAGATATATTGTATCAGACTGTGATTCCGTTGAAGTATATTATGACGATATCCATTATGCCGCATTGCCTAAGGAAGTAACAGCCTTTACAGGCTTAAACATGAATTATGGACACCATTTGGGAAAGTACACAAAATGTGCAATCAGATTGAACATGGTCAACGAGTTTGTTGTGTGACCAAGCTTTGTTTTCCAATTTCATGGTCCTCATGTAGCTTGGATTTTTTCGATGTTGAACCGACTTCCCTTCTATTAGATAAACTAAGGCTAGCAGATGTTTGTATTGATGGGCATCAACTTCTCACTCTTGAAGCAGCAAAAATAGGGCATTGTTTTACTAGAGAACAATGGATAACCCCCCAACTAACACAAAGCATATTGTTGTTCCTAGGACTCCAATGCAAAATGCTATAGTGTTATGATTTAGCGTCGATACGCTGGATACACAAGTTCCTTTGCAAGGACAGAAGTTTGTCTCCAATGTTATTTATGAGCCAGGGTGCAGTGATGTGGCTGTAGTAATAATAACCAACTTAAAGCAACAACTGAGGTAGCGACTGTAGTTGATGCAGTGATCGTAGTTGTTTGGAACTCAGTCAATCATTTGAGGCAGAGATGTAGACTGGTTGACCTAACATTGCCAGGGTAACCAAGAATTGCTAGTGTTTGAAGTTGCCAAGGCGGCTAAGGCGCCATTAGTTCTTGTTGTTTTGTCGGTGGTCTTGTTGATTTTTGTTTGCTAATAATACAAGGTTGGAGGGATCTGTTAGTGGGCTATCCTGGATAAGCTGGAGGCGACGCCATTGCCCAAGTAATTTTTGAAAAATTCAATTTAGGTTCATCATCACTCTCACCCACGGAATCAACTAACATATATATTTCTATGTAACATAATCCTATAGTAACAAATTGTTTCTATTGTCAGGTGGGCAGGTGCCCTTTTAGTTGGTATCCCAAAGTTTTGTGATTCAAGTGCCCATGACAGACATTGGCCCTGTTTGGTAGAACTGTGAGAAAATACTTTTAACTTATGCTTAAACAGCATATAGCTTATAACTATGAACATAAGCTAATTTCATGACTTATAAATTAAGCAGCTCTTGCCCCAACTCAAAGAATAAGCTGATTTCTGACTTCCAAAAAACTAAAAGCTATAAGCTATAGGTAAACCAAACACATCAAAATAGCTTAAATTAATCTGAAAGCTGAAATAAGCAGGCTTTTAAGCTGCACCAAACAGGGCCATTAACTTAAGGCAAGATTCCACAAGAAACTATCCAGGTAGAACTTTTCGGGTCTACTTAGGCAAACTGATGTACGACTTTGGTCATGGACTCACTACTCAGGTTTTTCAAAGTTTATAATGTCTACCCCCTCGACTGTGCTTGTAAAGGCATAGGGACAACACAAATGTGATAGTCTAATTCAACTCCATCGACATTTCTACATTAGAGTGCCATAATTTATAACTAGGAACGATGGTGATCTGGATTAAGGAAATGATGGTCCAAATCAAGGGTTTTAAAAACCCGCCGGTGAGTGAAACTGGAAAAGTGATCGGTGGACGGGTTACCGGTTCATCGCCGGGTTGACGCGGATCCAGCCGTGATGTCATAATTATGTCATAAATAATTTTAAAAAAAATATAAATTAACAATATAAATATTTTGATTTCATTTTTTTTTAAAATCTTAAATATTTTTAGTGATGTTTTCCTATATTTTAAAAAAAAAATCCTAAATATAAGTCATAACACTTGACATACTAACAACAAATAAAATTAAAGAGTGAAAATTTAGCTGTTAAAAACAACAATCTATAATAAAAATGATGAAAGCATCCAAACTAATCAATCCATAAAAACATAAGTTAACAAAAGACAAAAGTAAGTCCCAAAGTGTACCGACATAAAACATAAATCTCAAGCAACAAATGTAAAAGATGTTTACACATGACATCATTCTTAAAATAAAAATAAAAATAAAATCAACATAACACAACATCACAAACAATCTTTGATTTTTGCCTAAATCTCCTAGGGGCATAATTTAGCCAATCATCATCATCATTCTCATTCATTCGCATTTGCACTAGAGCTCGGGTTGTTTGATCTATTATCAATGCTACACGTCACCAAAAGATCCAAGTCGATTATCATCTCCAAGAAGTTCTACCTCCATATCATCCTTAACATCATCTACAATAGTTAAAATAAAATCATTTAACCTATAATTTTGATAATGATAGATAAAAAAGATTGTTGCATAGTGATGAAACATTATTTCTAACCATCTCGTAGACCATTGACATTGCCTCTTATATCGTGGAGGCTCATCTTCTTCATAAAGCATTTTTTCGAGCGTCACCATAATCAACCAATCGAGGCTCCTCTTGTTCTAGTCTTTCTTCTTCAATAATTCAAAACTCGGTTTTGTCAATGCTTTCAAATGTCAATGGGATCATAATTTCTTGTTTTGGTAATACCTCTTATATTGATTCAATTGTAAGACTAAATAAACGAATAAAATAAAAAATCCATTAGTTACTATATGAGAAAGATTAATTTACCTATTCTTTAATCGCAAGTTGTAATGAACATACACAAGATCATTAAGTCTACGATTTTTCTAGTCTATTCCTTTTCTTTGTATGTATGCGTTCAAAGACACTCAAATTCCTTTCACACCCAGAAGAGCTGCTAGTTTGACTAAGAATTCGAATGGCTAACTTTTGACAAATTTGGAGCACTATGTCCAAACATCTCCACCATTCATCTTATTATCAAAGAGAAGAAAGAAAAATTATTATAAAAAATAAAAAGAAAACAAGAAAGTAGATAAATGAGATAAAATATTCCAAACAAAATCAAATAATAATGATAATTATATTTAAAAAAAGAGAGCGATACCAGGTTGTTGTTTTCTTAGATGTAGTAATGGCAAGCTGCTCTTCCAAAACTATTCGTCGATCTCGAAACAATCTAAGTTCATTCATGAGCTTCGTTTTACTTGATGTGGCTTTAGTTTCAATCACTTCAAGTTACACTATACTCAATAACCTCTGGCTTTTGCCAAAATGAAGCTTGATCATATGAAAAGCTAGGTTCAACCAATTAAGCTGCCTGCATGTATATTCTTCGCCGCCAATTGATTATCCCAACGAGTTTTAATGATTGTTGTGTAAGCCTATACAACCTCTATTTCTCTTGAAAATATCTTTAATACTTTGATTGCCTATACATGCCTTCATAAACATATCCCATGGACGGTTTCTCATCTCATCAACAATACACAAAAAGACGCATAAGTGGCTTCAACAAATCTTAACAGTGCATGAAGCAATACTTCCAAAATAGTTTATCTAAACTGATATCAATGGCATCCTTTCCTTTCTTCTCTTTGGCAAACCTTGAACTTGCGCAAACTCCTTACTTGTCACCAAAGCTTGCAAATCATGCATGATGCTCATAAATGCTATGCAATGCAAGCGAAGTAGTGGCAAAGCGCATTGGCTCCTGGGCGCACAAATTTCAGTCCAATTCTTCTTCTTTCTCAATTGCGCTAACAACATGAACGGTTGTATATTGTACCCTTTGTCCCCCACCGTGAGGGCCTTAATAGCAAGCTCATGCTGATTCAGCTTAATCTTAAGATTAAAGTTTCAAGCCCAATGAGCTTGCTATTATAGGCATCAACGGGACAAGGTACATATACAAACCTTTCATGCGTGTTTACGCAAATGAGAAGAAAGAAAGAATTGGACTGAATTGTGCGCCAGGAGCAATGCGCTTTGCCACTAAACTTTCCTTCGCATGCATAGCATTATGAGCATATGCATGATTTGCAAGCTTTGTGACAAGTACAGGAGTTGCAAGTTCAAGGTTTGGCAAAGAGAAAGAAGGAAAGATGCATTGATATCATTTTAGATAAACTATTTTTGGAAGTATTGCTTGGCATCACTGTTAAGATTGTTGAGCCACTTATGCGTCTTTTGTGTATTGTTGATGGAGATGAGAAACCGTCCATGGATATGTTTATGATAGCATGTATAGGGCAATCAAAAGCCGTATTAAAAGATATGTTCAAGAGAAATAAGAGGTTGTATAGGCCTTACACAACAATCATTAAAACTCGGTTGGGTAATCAATTGCGGAAGAATATACATGCAGCAGCTTATTGGTTGAACCTAGCTTTTCAATATGATCAAGCTTCATTTTGCAAAAAGCCAGAGTTATGAATAGTGTACTTGATGTGATTGAAACTAAAGCCACATCAAGTAAAACGAAGCTCATGAATGAACTTAGATTGTTTCGAGAATCGACCGAGATAGTGTTTAAGAGAGCTTGCCGATTACTACATCTAAGAAAACACAACCTGGTAATCGCTCTCTTTTTTTAAATAGTAATTATCATTATTATTTTGATTTTGATTGGAAATATTTTATCTTCATTTATCTATTTCTTGTTTCTTTTATTTTTTATAATATTTTTTTCTCTTTGATAATAGATGAATGGTGGAAGATGTTTGGACATAGTGCTCCAAATTTGCAAAAGTTAGCCATTCGAATTCTTTAGTCAAACTAGCACAGCTCTTCTGGGTGTGAAAGGAATTGGAGGGTCTTTTAACGCATACATACAAAGAAGAAGAATAGACTAGAACATCATAGGCTTAATGATCTTGTGTATGTTCATTACAACTTGCGATTGAAGAATAGGTAAATTAATCTTTCTCATATAGTAACTAATGGATTCTTTATTTTATTCATTTATTTAGTCTTACAATTGAATCAATATAGGAGGTATTACAAAACAAGGAATTATGATCCCATTGACATTGAAAGCATTGACAAAATCGAGTTTTGGATTATTGAAGAAGAAAGACTAGAACAAGAGGAGCCTCCATTGCTTGATTATGATGAGCTCGAAAAAATGCTTTATGAAGAAGATGAGCCTCCACGATATAAGAGGCAATGTCATGGTCTACGAGATGGTTAGAAAATAATGTTTCATCATTATGCAACAATCTTTTTTATCTATCATTATCAAAATGATAGCTTAATGATTTTATTTTAACTATTGTAGATGATGTTGAGGATGATATGGAGGTAGAACTTCTTGGAGATGATATCGACTTGGGATCTTTTGGTGACGTGAACATTGATAATAGATCAAACAACCCGAGCTCTAGTGCAAATGCAAATGAGAATGATGATGATGATTGGTTAAATTACCGTCCCTAGGAGATTTAGGCAAAAATCAAAGATTGTTTGTGATGTTGTGTTGTGTTGTGTTGATTTTTATTTTTATTTTTAAGAATGATGTCATGTTGTAAACATCTTTTTACATTTGTTGCTTGAGATTTATGTTTTATGTCGGTACACTTTGGACTTACTTTTGTCTTTTTGTTAACTTATGTTTTATGGATTGATTTAGTTGGATGCTTTCATCATTTTTATTATTACGATTGTTGTTTTTAACAGCTAAATTTTCATCTTTAATTTTATTTGTTGTTAGTATGTCAAGTGTTATGACTTATATTTAGGATTTTTTTTTTTAAAATATAGGAAAACATCACTAAAAATATTTAAGATTTTAAAAAAAAAATGAAAATCAAATATTTATATTGTTAATTTATATTTTTTTTAAAATTATTTATGACATAATTATGACATCACGGCTGGATCCGGTTCAACCCGGCGATTGAACCGGTAACCCGTCCACCCGATCACTTTTCCAGTTCACTCACCGGTCCGGTTTTTAAAACCTTGATTTGGACCATCATTTCTTAATCCAATCACCATGTCCTAGTATAAATTATGGCACTCTAATGTAGAAATGTCGATGGAGTTGAATTAGACTATCACATTTGTGTTGTCCCTATGCCTCACAAGCACAGTGGAGGGGGCAAACATGATAAACTTTGAAAAACCTGAGTAGCTGAGTCCATGACCAAAGTCGTACATCAATTTGCCTAAGTAGACCTGAAAAGTTCTACCTGGATAGTTTCTTGTGGAATCTTGCCTTAAGTTAATGGCCCTGTTTGGTGCAGCTTAAAAGCTGCTTATTTCAGCTTTCAGATTAATTTAAGCTATTTTGATGTGTTTGGTTTACCTTATAGCTTATAGCTTTTAGTTTTTTGGAAGTCAGAAATCAGCTTATTCTTTGAGTGGGGCAAGAGATGCTTAATTTATAAGTCAGAAATTAGCTTATGTTCATAGTTATAAGCTATATGCTGTTTAAGCATAAGTTAAAAGTATTTTCTCACAGTTCTACCAAACAGGGCCAATGTCTGTCATGGGCACTTGATCAACAAAACTTTGGGGATACCAACTAAAAGGGCACCTCCCACCTGACAATAGAAACAATTTGTTACTATAGGATTATGTTACATAGAAATATATATGTTAGTTGATTCCGTGGGTGAGAGTGATGATGAACCTAAATTGAATTTTTCAAAAATTACTTGGGCAATGGCGTCGCCTCCAGCTTATCCAGGATAGCCCACTAACAAGATCCCTCCAACCTTGGTATTATTAGCAAACAAAAATCAACAAGACCACCCGACAAAACAACAAGAACTAATGGCCCCTTAGCCGCCTTGGCAACTTCAAACACTAGCAATTCTTGGTACCCTGGCAATGTTAGGTTCAACCAGTCTACCATCTCTGCCTCAAATGATTGACTGAGTCCAACAACTACGATCACTGCATCAACTACAGTCGCTACCTCAGTTGTTGCTTTAAGTTGGTTATTATTACTACATGCCACATCACTGCACCCTGGCTCATAACTAACATTGGAGACAAACTTTTCTAGTCCTTGCAAAGGACTTGTATACTTGCATGGTATCCCGACGTAGCTACTAATCATAACACTATAGCATTTGCATTGAGTCCTAGGACAGCAATATGCTTTGTGGTAGTTGGGAACAAAGGAAGTTATCCATTGTTCTCTAGTAGAACAATGCCCTATTTTGCTGCTTCAAGAGTGAGAAATTGATGCCCATCAATACAAACATCTGCTAGCCTTAGTTTATCAAATAGAAGGGAAGTCGGTTCAACATCAAAAAATCCAAGCTATATGAGGACCATGAAATTGGAAAACAAAGCTTGGTCAACAACAAACTCGTTGATCATGTTCAATCTGATTGCACATTTTGTGTACTTTCCCAAATGGTGTCCACAATTCATGTTTAAGCCTGTAAAGGCTGTTACTTCCTTAGGCAATATGGCATAATGGATATCGTCATAATATACTTCAACGGAATCACAGTCTGATACAATATATCTGTGTCACAGCAAAAAAGTAATTAGCAATGCCCTATTTGACAAAAACCAAACCAAAATAATGATGCAACTCTTTTCATGATTCAAAATGCAATTGAAATCCATGCAAAATAGTGTACTTAGGCAGTGAAAATGAATGATCAAACAGAGGCTATGTAGTGCCTAGGGAGAGAACCAGACTTTTGAGGGAGGGGGCCCATTAAATAAGGGTATGGATTTATAGTGGTGATACAGTAATGTAAAAACATAGGTATTTTCCATGATTACATTACGTCACCCCAAAAATGCAAAAACACCTTAAAGCAATAATGTAAATCTCTGCCAATGAAAACGACATGAATTACAAACTTTCGTATGAAACTCCCTAATCACATCATTTATTATTTGCCCTCTTCAATGGAAAAGATGAAATCGTTGACCAAATACTCCTTTAGCCCTCTAAAATGACCTTACCTAACAAGTAATACATACCAAAATCACTTATGCAATCTCTCTTTGATCCGAGACATCTTTGTTGCATATCACATTAGTATCGCTAACAACAGACTCTATAATGTAACAAAAAAAGAAAGCAAACAAAATAAACATGGGAGGCATCCTCCATGATTGAATCATAAAAACATCTATATGAAGATCTCTGAGGAAGACAATGTCTTTAAATTAAAAGATCACGAGTGGTGATCCTTTTCCTGAATAGCTAACCAAGTGAAAGCTTGTACTTTATGGGGAATGAAAGATTTTCAAGCAAACCTACTTAAACCCAAAATGTATGTTCCAGAAAAGTTATGAATCATTTTGATTTTATCACAAATGAAGATAGTAAAATTACAAAAATTATTCTTTCTTGTATGATGTATATTACAGTCTTTCCTAACAACGATTTAAAAAATATATAATTAACTCTACATTGTCCATTAACTAGAAATCTAGAAATCTATCTTCCTCCTTCACCAAACTGAAATAACTCTAATGAATGCACTGTTTAACATATGTAGTAATAACTCTAATGATATTCTGATGATACTCAAGTAGATATGATGATGCTTTATGGGCGATTTTCTGATGATACTCAAGTAGATATGAAATTGTGAACAACCATATCCTAAATCGTCTCACTTCGGCTATCTCACTCCTCATCCACTTTCTCTTGTCGGAGTCGCCATCCAAAAGATTTGAATATATATATATTAAATCCAACAATTATGTGTTTATATACGTATATATCAATGAATCAATTTGTGTATATATAAATATATATTATTCTGGCACCAACTGAGCATTTATAAGTGTATATATCAATGAGTGAATTTGTGTATATATACAGATATTAGGGTATATATATAAATCTGTGTATATATATATTTGTGTGTTGTGTATAGTGTATATATATATGTAGTACAACCCATTACACTATATGTAACCACATATATTATTACAATAATGATTTTTAGATGGCACATAAAGAAGATAAAGCACTTCCTTCCCAAAGATGAAGATGAGGCTGAAAGCTTCACGTTACTACCAATCATAAACTGATGCATTGCTTGTTGTTCATGGGAACAATCAACTAAGAGGCGATGTTGCCTAAGCATTAGCCTCTTTATCCCAATCCAATGCAATCCGCAATGTTTAGTTGTTTGCATATATCCAATTTCACAGTCATTTTCTCAGCCTCCTCTATGTTTACTTGGATTCTTTCAAATGCCACTAGTTGCTTTTTAGGTGTCCCAATCAGCATCCCTTGTGCATTTGCTAATACAACATAAGTTCCATCATTTGGCCTATCATTTCTTAATCCAATCACCACGTCCAAGTATAAATTGTGGCACTCCAATGCAGAAATGTCGATGTAATTGAATGAGATTATCATATTTGCATTGTCCCTATGCCTCACAAGCACAGTGGAGGAGGCAGACATGATGAACTTTGAAAAAACTGAGTAGCTGAGGCCATGACCAAAGTCCTACATCAATTTGCCTGAGTAGAACAAATATGTTCTACCTGTATAGTTTTTAAAGAAATCGTTCCTTAAGTTTATGTCTGTCATGGGCACTTGATCAACATAACTTTGGGGATACCAACTAAAAGGGGACCTCCCACCTAGCAATATAAACAAAGTGTTACTATTGGATTATGATATATAGAAATATATATGTAGCTGACTGCATGGGTGAGACTCATGGTGAACCTGGAATGAATTTTTCAAAAATTATTTGGGTAATGGCGTCGCCTCCAGCTTGTCCAGGATAGCCCACCCACAATATCCTTTTAACCATGGTATTATTAGAAAACGAAAGATAAGCATGACCACCTGACATATAAATAAGAACAAATGGCCATTTAGCTACATTGGCAACTTCAATCACTAGTAATTCCTGGTACCCTGGCAATGTTAGGTTCAACCGGTCTACCATATCTGCCTCAAATGATTGACTGAGTCTAAGAACTACGATCACTGCATCAACACTACATGCCACGTCATTGCACCCTGGCTTATAACAAACTTTGGAGACAAACTTTTCTAGTCCTTGGAAAGGAATTGTATACTTGCAAGGTATCCCGGTGTAGATACTAATCATAACACTGTAGCATTTACATTAGGTACTAGGATGTGGTAGTTGGGAACAAAGGAAGTTGTCCATTGTTCTCACATAGAACAATGCCCTGTTTTGCTACTTCAAGAGCGAGAAATTGATGCTCATCAGTACAAACATCCGTTGGCCTTAGTTTCTCAAATGGTTAACAATTTCATTTCTTACATTGAAGAGGGCAAATAACAAAAGATGTGATTAGGGAGTTTCGTTCTTAGTTTGTAATTTGGGTCATTTTCATTGGTAAAGATTTGCATTATCGCTTTAAAGTGTTTTTGCATTTTTTGGGTGATGTAATGTAATCATGGGAAATACTTTTTACATTAGTGTATCACCACTATAAATCCATACCCCTATTTAATGGCCCTCCTCCCTCAAAAGTCTGGTTCTATCCCTAAGCATAGCACAACTCGTGTTTGATATTTCATTTTCACTATCTAAGTACATTATTTTGCATGGATTTTAATTGCATTTTGAATCATGAAAAGAGCTGCATCATGATCTTGGTTTGGCTCTTGTTAAATAAGGCACTGCTAATTACTTTTTTGCTGTGACACAAATAAATTGTATTAGATTGTGATTCTATTAAAGTATATTCTAACAATATCCATTATGCCACATTGCCTGAGGAAATAGTAGCCCTTGCATGGAATGTAGGCTTAAACATGAATTGTGGGTGCCATTGGGGAAACTACACAGAATGTGCAATCAGATTAAACATGGTCAAAGAGTTTGTAGTTGACCAAGCTTTGTTTTCCAATTTCATGGTCCTCATGCAACTTGGATTTTTCGATGGTGAACCGACTTCCCTCCCATTTGAGAAACTAAGGTCAGTGGATGTTTTTACTGTTGAGCATCAATTTCTCACTCTTGAAGCAACAAAATAGGGCATTGTTCTACTTGAGAACAATGGACAACTTCACTTGTCCCCAACTACCACAAAGCATATTGATGTCCTAGGACCCCCCAATGCAAATACTACAATGTTATGATTAGTATCTACACCGGGATACCTTTCAAGTATACCAAGTCCTTTGCACGGACTAAAAAAGTTTGTCTCCAAACTTAGTTATGAGCTAGGGTGTTGTGATGTGGCATGTATTAACGATAACCAACTCAAAGTAACAATTGAGGTAGTAGCTGCAGCGGATGCAGTGATCGTAGTTGTTGGACTCAGTCAATCATTTGAGGCAGAGATGGTAGACCGGTTGAACCTAACAATGCCAAGGTACTAGGAATTACTAGTGATTGAAGTTGCCAAGGCGGCTAAGGGGCCATTAGTTCTTGTTGTTATGTCAGGAAGTCTTGTTGATCTTTCGTTTGCTAATAATACCAAGGTTGGAGGAATCTTGTGGGTTGGCTATCCTAGACAAGATGGAGGCGACGCCATTGCCCAAGTAATTTTTGGAAAATTCAATCCAGGTTCAGCATCATTCTCACCCACGCAGTCAGCTACATATATATTTCTATATATCATAATCCTATAGTAAAACTTTGCTTCTATTGTCAGGTGGGAGATCCCCTTTTAGTTGGTATCCCCGAAGTTATGTTAATCAAGTGCCCATGATAGACATGAACTTAAGGGAAGATTCCCCAAGAAACTCTCCAAGTAGAACTTATCAGTTCTACTCAAACAAATTGATGTACAACTTTGATCATGGACTCAGCTACTTAGTTTTTTCAAAGTTCATCATGTTTGCCCCATCCACTGTGCTTGTGAGGCCTCGGGACAACACAAATGTGATAGTTTCATTCAACTCCATCGATATTTCTGCATTGGAGTGCCATAATTTATACTTGGATGTAGTGATTTGATTAAAAAATGATGGGCCAAATTATGGAACTTATATTGTATTGGTCTTTTGGGAGCCACCAAATACACAAGGGATGCTAACTAGGACACCTAAAATGCAACTAGTGGCATTTGAAAGAATCCAAGTGAACATAGACGAGATTGAGAAAATGACCATGAAATTGGATATCTGCAAACAACTAAGCATTGTGGTTTGGATTGGATTGGGATATGGAGGCTGATACTTAGGCAGCATCATTTCTTGGTTGGTTCTTCCCACGAACAACAAGCAATGCATCGGTTTATGATTGGTAGTGATACAAAGCTTTCAGCCTCATCTTCATCTTTGGGAAGGAAATGCTTTATCTCTTATATGTGCCATCAAAAAATCATTACTGTAACAATATATGTGGTTACATATAGTGTAATGGGTTAAACTACGTATATATACACTATACACAGTACACAAACATATATATACACAGTTCTATATGTATACCCTAACATATGTTACCAAGTGTTTTCAATTTCTATACATATATACCCTAATATATATGTATATATACACAAATTCACTCACTAATATATGCACTTACATATAAACAATTGGTGCCGGAATAATATTTATATGTATATATACACAAATTCATTTACTGACATATACGTATATAGACACATAGTTGGTGGATCTGATATATGCGTATATATTCAGATCTTCGAGACGGTTGCTCCAACAAGAGAGAGTGGTTGGGGAGTGAGATAGCCGAAGTGAGACGATCTAGGATATGGATGTTCGCGAATTCATATCTATATCATCAAAAAATCGCCCATAAAGCATCATCAAATCTACTTGAATATCATCAAAATATCATTAGAGTTATTACTGCATATGTCAAATAGTGCATTCATTGGAGTTATTTCAATTTGGTGAAGGAGGAAGAGAGATTTCTAGTTAATGGACAATGTAGAGTTAGTTATATATTTTTAAAAATCATTGTTAGAGAAAGGCTGTAATAAATATCCCACAAGAAAGAATACTTTTTGTAATTTTACTATATTCATTCCTGATAAAATTAAAATGATTCATAACTTTTCTGGAACATACATTTTACGTTTGAGTAGGTTAGCTTGAAAATTTTTCATTCCTCCTAAAGTACAAGCTTTCACTTGGTTAGTTATTCAGGAAAAGGATCACCACTCGTGATCTTTTAATTAGAAGACATTGTCTTTCATAGAGATCTTCATATAGATGTTTTTGTGATTCAATCATGGAGGATGCCTCCCATGTTTATTTCGTTGGTTTTCTTTTTTTGTTACATTATGGAGTCCGTGGTTAGCTATACTAATGTGATATTCAACAAAGAAGATTGCATAAGTGATTCTGGTATGTATTATTTGTTAGGTAAGGTCATTTTAGAGGGCTAAAGGAGTATTTGGTCAACGATTTCATATCTTGCATCGAAGAGGCGAAATAATAAAAGATGTGATTAGGGAGTTTCGTTCTTAGTTTGTAATTTCGGTCGTTTTCATTGGTAGAGATTTACATTATTACTTTAAGGTGTTTTTGCATTTTCGGGGTGATGTAATGTAATCATGGAAAATACCAGTGTTTTTACAATACTATATCACCACTGTAAATCCATACCCCTATTTAATGGCCCCCCTCCCTCAAAAGTCTAGTTTTATCCCTAGGCACAACACAACACAGCACAACACATCACAACTCAGCTTGTGTTTGATCATTTATTTTCACTACCTAACTACATTATTTTGCATGGATTTCAATTGCATTTTGAATCATGAAAAAGGTCACATCATGATTTTGGTTTTGTTCTTGTCAAATAAGGCACTACTAATTACCTTTTTGCTATGACACAGATATATTGTATCAGACTGTAATTCCGTTAAAGTATATTATGACGATATCCATTATGCCACATAGCCTGAGGAAGTAGAAGGCCTTGCATTGAATGCATGCTTAAACATGAATTGTGGGCGCCATTTGGGAAAGTACACAAAATGTGCAATCAGATTGAACATGGTCAAAGAATTTATTATTGACCAAGCTTTGCTATCCAATTTTATGGTCCTCATGCGGCTTGGATTTTTCGATGGTGAACAGACTTCACTTCCATTTGAGAAATTAAGGCCAATGAATGTTTGTACAGATGAGCATCAATTTCTCACTCTTGAAGCAGCAAAATAGGGCATTGTTCTACTTGAAAACAATGGACAACTTCCTTTGTCCCCAACTACCACAAAGCATATTACTGTCCTAGAACCCAATGCAAATGCTACAGTGTTATGATTAGTATCTACGCTAGGATACCATTCAAATATACAGGTCCTTTTCAAGGACTAGAAAAGTTTGTCTCCAAAGTTAGTTATGAACCAGGCTGCAGTGATGTGGTATGTAGTAACAATAACCAACTCAAAGCAACAACTGAGGTAGTAACTGTAGCTAATGCAGTGATCGTAGTTGTTGGACTTAGTCAATCATTTGAGGCAGAGATGGTAGACTGGTTGAACCTAACATTGCCAGGTGTAGACACCCCATTTTTGACCGACCTTAAGACTCAGACGTCGCCAATTGAGCACTTGGTGATGTTGCATAATGTGCTCGTTCAGAAGTTTCAGAGTCGCGGCCGTAAGCCCTGCCTCCGGACTTCCGAACCCTTTTCTGTGCCTTGTCTCGGTTTGCGAACCAGACTCGGTTTTCTCTGTTTCTTTTCCTGAAGGGAGGGAGAGGTCTCGTAGACCACCTCTCGGAGCCGGTACTAGGTCCTACGCGGTAACAGCATACACGCGCCCTGTAGGCCCCTGATCCACCTGCTTACCCCTCGGAGCATACGACTGCTGCAC